TCCCATAGGTGAGCAGCGGCTCCGGGCAGGTCGTGCCAGGCGGGATGAGGTTGTCGAGGATGGTGCAGACATCGTTGTAGGTGCAGCTGCCCAGCTGGTCGACGCAGGGCAGCTGGATCCAGAGGTCACCCAGCGCCTTCTCCACCACTAGCACTGCCTGGAGGGAAGGTGTTCGGCACTGGTAAGCGCAGGCATCTATGACTCCTCGAGCCCATCCCACCCTCCCCTCCCCAGCCATCCCAGTCAGCTCCTGCAATTCTTTGGGTGTCCACGGGGCTACCACATGCCCTCTCACCTCCCTCTTCTGCTTTCAGTTCCCCTGCCTGCAGGTTTCTCTTCCCCCAGCCTCAGCTTGACCCCTTCAGCAAACACCTCCCAGCACCCCACACACCTGCTCCTTCCCCTCTCCTCGGTGCTCCGTCCCAAAACCACCTGGCACCTCCCATCCTGCGACTCTGCCTCCACACTCCCCCGGCACGCTCCCCACAGCCCCAGCCCCAAACAAGCACCGTGGCGTTGCCCAAGACAGCCCAAACACATTGGGCAAAGAGACGCCTTCGGTCTCATTCACAAAAGTCCCCAAAAAGTGGTGCAAGGCAGCCAGGCCAGCCAGGGCTCCCACAGTGGTGCTGTGGCATGTCTGTGGAGGGAGCAAACAGGTCTGGCTGCTGCAAAACGAGTGCTGCAGTGACCGCTGAGAACACCCAGGAAACTTGGGGTTTCATTTCCCTCCCTGAGTCACTCTATCCCCAGGACATGACACAACTCAGGTGGTTTCTCCCACTGGGACAAAGTTGGGAGCTTCCCACTGAGCTGTCTGCTCCCTCCGTGCATCTCCGCGTGCCCATCACCCTGTCCTTACAGACCCTGGAGTGCTCAGCCCTGTGCCACTCCGTGCCCCGTTCCCCCAAGGGCTGCCCAGTTCCCTACCCACTGATGGGCATTTCCCAGCTGCCAGTGGTTTCAGGAAGCTCTCCCCTCCCTCATCCCGCAGAGGCATCTCCAGCACGTACCTTCAGAGGGGAGGCCATGGTCTTGCTGCTGCTGCCGGCCGCGCTGACACGCACGCTCCCAGGGATGGCAATGGGGTCAGGTTGCACAGAGAGGCTCTGCAGAACAGCGGGGTCCTTCCCGTCACCGCAGTTCTCCCAGGCAAAGCCACCAACCTGCAGCACCAAGGGACAGCAAGAGTTAGAGCCCAGGTGAGCTTTGCCCTGGGCTTGCAGGAGGTTTCCCCAGCGCTGGACCCCCCCCAAGCCCCCTCGCACACACATCTGCTCACAAACACAGCCAGAAAATGACCTTCAGCCCTCCCTCAAATGACAAATAAATATTTCCCTCTGCATTTCTTGCACTCCCAGCTCTCCGAGCCTGAAGGTGTTGCAGAAACTCTCCATCAGACACCAGTTGCCACAACCCCCTTTCATTAACTTCTCACCCAAAGAGGGTCCCCAGGCTGTGATTTCCAAATCAGCCTTGGCTCAGCCTCTGAACACTTTGCACATGAACAAGGTGAGAAGCATCCTTCACACCAGCACCAAAAGCATCGAGCAAGGTGTTTGAGAGTGAAGCCAAGAGAGCAAGCAGGGACCAGGCAGGGTGGCAGTGGCCGCACTGGCCAGGGGGATGCTGTGCCCTGGGGGGCTGTGGGGCCAGTGCAGCCTCCTGGCTTGGCCAGCACCAGCCTGGCTGTTGTGAGCCCTCATCTACTGGCTCTGGCCACCCAGTCCCACACAGGAGCGGGAATCACACTTGTGCATTGTGTTTTAAACATGGCTTAACATTTCCATCTCTGCTCGTGCTTGGGGGGCAGATGAGCCGGGCTCACCCCCTGCCTGACACACCCCAGGAGCCTGATACTGAGCTGGTCCAGTCCAAACAAGCCAGGAAAGCAGTGCTGTCCCATGGGATCACGAAAATTCACACACAGGGGATGTCACCTGGACAGGAGAACATCGCTCATGCATCCTGGCTGGGCTGGGAGCCATCCTGGGAAACCTCCCACTTCCTCCAAGTCCCACCAGCCTCCTTGGTCACCCCTGGGAAAGCCACGGGCTGGCAACAGCCCCAGAGCCCATTCCTTCCACAACCCAAGGACAAAAGTGGGGGATGGCAGCAAGTGGACGGCAGCAGGGGGATGGCAGAGCTCGGCTTCAACAGCCGCCCCTGAACCTGCTGCAAGCCAGCGGCGAGAGCCCAGCCCCAGCTCCCTTCCAAGCAAGCTCCAGCGTAAATGCAGCTCTTCTCCCAGCGAGGAAGCGGGAGGCCGCCTGGGCCGTGCACCCTGA